GCTGGGCCAGCTGGTGGTCGGCCTGCTCCGTCTCTGCCGCTTGCCAGCTACGCCTCGGCCGGCGCAGGGGGCGGAACCACGCATGCGCGGCGCTCCCGGGCAGGGAAAGTCCTCGACTTACGACCGGTTGGGTAGTCCTCGACTTATGACCGGTTTAGTCCTCGACTTACGACCGGTTTAGTCCTCGACTTACAACCGGCTGGGGGTCGTGGCATTAAAAAGGTTGAGAACCACTGGATTAAATAATCACCACAGTTTATAGCAGGTAAATTTCTGGTTTGTTGAACTGCTGTCTATTTGCTAAAACGAATACGGCTCCCACAGTTCTTAAAGACTGAGGTCCAGGAATCCACCTTCTTCTCCACAAGGTGAGAAGTCACATCTATGTCATCTTACCCTAGTATTAGCTATGTAAACAAGTAATTTCAGGCTTCCAGGCAATGTGTTTTCCAAACTCTTCCTGAAGAATCCATAGATTAAATTTTGAGCCCATATGGAGTGTGGCGGTCTATAAACAGAGTTGGTAAATAAACTTTCTCCATGCAAATCACATATTCCAGGGGTGTCAAACAATTTCACTGAGGGCCGCATCAGCACTGCGGTTGCCCTTGGGGGGGCAGGTGGGTGTGGCCAGGGTGCGGCCTACTTGGTGGGTGTGGCCTACTGGGTGGGCATGGCCAGCTCTACATTGTTCGCGTCAAGGGTGCCTGTGGGAGCCTGGGCAGGAGTGGGACAGATCTGAGGGTCTCTGGCAGAAGGGGGTGGGACCGGGGCAAGCACCAAGGCATGGTCCATTTCTTCATTCCTCACAAAGGGTGACACCTCCCCAGCATGCACCCAGGGGGCGTGGCCGACGCGGCAGGGGCTGGTTCCTCGCTGTTTCTAGACGGCCTTGTGGAGCTAAGACTGAATGCGTTTCAGCATAGATGGCCACCACAAAACTGTACATTGGCTCCCGGCCGGCCTGGGCCAGGGCCAAGGCAGCGGGGGCCATTCCCTCACTGTTTCCAGGCTGGCTTCGCGGGCCACATGAAACCACTTCGCGGGCCGCATCCGGCCCCTGGGCCTTGTGATTGACATGCCTGACGTATTCTATCAACGTCCTATAGGGCTTCTCCGTTGTTTACTAAAGTACATTCTATACTTTGAGGATAGGTTGAAAGAAAAAGACTGTAAAAAATGCACGAGAAATGCAAAAATCCCCTTTGTCCCTTGCATTACTTTCTTCTACATAATAACAGATAAGCAGAAAAGGAAGAAAACTGCTATTCAGATATATATTCACTTACAGAATTCACTTTCGTGAGATAATGTCCTTAAGCTATCAAACATTCATGAGAGCAAATGGAACATCTGTGACCAGAAATAGTATACCTCTGATTACCTCTGGCTATAAACCATTGTTTGCCTTGTTTGTGACTAGTCAGAAATATCTTGGCTGACTGTCGTTAATATGCTGAAGTAGATGATCCTTATTCTCAGCCATGCTAAGGAACTTATATGTTCTTTACAGACTACATTTCCAAGATTTAAACAAAAAAAAAAAAGAACCCCAGGAATGTACAGTATATTTCAGCTTGACTTATTCTTAACTTTGATTCTTAATTTCACTTTGATTTTAATTCCCAAAAAATTGAACTGTAATTTAAAAACATGAACACATTTTGACAGAGGCGTAACATCTGTCAAAATAATTCAGATAGGGTGGCAGGACTTCCAAAGATGTCAACCAGTGGAGCACCGATGGGATCCAGATTTGATGTGAGATCATGGAATATATAGTAATTTAAATGCAACAGCTCACTGCATTTACCATTTATGCACATGTGTATTATTATGTGTTTAAACTTCTGAGATTGGTAATTGAAGAATGGAACAAAATACTAATTCAAAGTATCTCCTCATCTAATACGTTAAGAAAGCCCATCGATCAAAGGTGTCAATTTTCTTGTTCTTGTGTCAACGCTCAACATCAATTTAACTATTTTTATAAAATCACAATCTGTTTCAGAAATTAAGAGTGATTAAGAGTGTTCATATACAAATCAACGTGCATTTTGGGAAAAGAGAGGACGGAAGTGGGACTACTAAGTCTCATGCTTTATTATGCTAATCTAGACAGAGCAAAATCAAGAAAGATCATATTTGCTGACAGAGGTACAAATCGACAGAAACGGGGATAAGAAAACGTGATTTATGAATTACCGTGATTACAAGGTTTCAAAACAGGTGCCGTAGAAGTAGAGCTGAAATTCTGGGGTTCAACTGGAGATAAAAAAAAACTAAATAAATCATAGATTTCTTTTAAAAAACATCAGATTAAACAACCAACAGAAAATCTGTCACTTTTCCACTGGTCCCTTTTTTTTTTTAATCCAAAGGGACCATGATTCCACAGACGTATCCCATCACAAATAAAGCTACAGATCCTCTAGGAGAAAAGCACAGAGCAGAAGAGGAGGAAAAGTTGGGGCAAAGAATCCTGAACTTAGAAAGCAAGGCTGTTATTCTTTCTAAAATGTGGCTTGCAAAAACAATGTTCAGGTGTACATCCTTGCTACATTTGCCTTTGCAATATAAAATGGATTAAAAAAAAACACACATACGCTCCAAAGCAGTTTTGGCCTGCATTTTTCCACCAACGGGTGGGTTATCTTAAACTAGGCTTGTGGCATGATTCTATAGAAAGTGAGAGAGAGAGAGAGAAAGGGGGAAAGAGAGAGAGAGAAAAAATTATTTACCTTTAAACCTGGGTGCTTGCTTTCTTCGATTGCGGAAAGCTGCCCCTGACTGCAGAGCCTCCAGCAAACTATCCATCACTCCTGTCTCATCCTTTTCTGTGAAAAACAAATGGGAGAGCATTCCTTCTGTTTTCTGGGTTACCATAGCAATGTCAAAGGATTTAGAGGGATACAAGGGAATACTCTGGAAATAAAAACCTGACGGTTCCAAGTTCAGATAAACCTTTAATTCACTCATCAATCAGATTCTCAAGCCGTGAGCTTGGAGGCCGTTTCACCCTGCAGTGGCTAAAGCAGACTCGACTTAAGTTTGATTAAGTTCACCACACCACGCGGGCCGAAATGAGAGACGACGAGAATTTCAAGCGCGACGCAACTTCGTCCTGGCGCTTTGGCGCCCCTTCTAAAGCTGGTAATCGTCACGCGGAAATTCTCTCGGAGAAATTTATCGGCGAGGCGACCATCTGAAGTGCTGGCATTTATTCTTTGCAAAAGCTACATTAAGCTCTTCTGCTTTCTTTAATGGATAAAAGAGCGGATGGGTCTCTAGTGCTTCCATTCTAGACCTGGTAAATTATTACACTGAACTTTTATATTCTTTTTCTTTCTTTTTTCTCCCCCTCTTCTAAAGGAAAATTGGAATGAAAGGGAAAATTCTGCCCTAGTCTGTTAGGCATGAAACAATCATTTCTCTTATAACGCTAGAGGATCTTATAAAGCCACTTACAGCCTGGAGAGCAGCTGAAAAACGATGGGCGCATAATACCTCTTGACAATAATTTCCATCTGTAACTGGAGTTAATTTATTTATTTTTAATCTGCATGCATGCACTGCTCGTTAAATAACCGAGAAATGTCTTTGGTTTCTTAAGCACAATATTAATATTTTCGTGTTGGAAGCAGCAAAATGTTTCCGTGGCGAAAGGATGTCGCCGGTGACATCAGTGTTGCCCAAGGGATGGGGGGGGGGTCCTTTCACGTCCCCGTGAAGCTGCTCACCGAAGTGGTATTCATTAATCTACTTGCAGTCACCCGCTTTCGAATCGCTGGGTCGGTGCGAGTCGGAGCGGGTGACACAGAGCTCAACCTGCCTCATGGCAGCAACAGGTTTCGAACGGGAGGCTGCCAATCATCGGCCCAGCGTTCTAACCTCAAGAGCCACCGCGCTCCTCTCAAACACAAGGTATTTTTTTTTAATGATTAGTTACCTTAGTTTTAATCGGAAGGAGTTGAAAGGGGAATGAGATTAATACCACAAGGTTAAATGCTTCAGCCACTTATTTATCGAACTGTAAAAGTTAAAACTAGTGTTCTGAGGCTTGGTTATCTCTGCAACTTACTTGGAGAAAGAGACCTGAAACAAGTTTTTTTATTATTATTATTATTATTACTAGCTGTACCCGGCCACGCGTTGCTGTGGCTCTCGTTCACTCAGCCAACAGATGGCGCTGTTTTTTTTTAAAAAAGCATGTGTTTAACCTGTCACAGGTGTGACATCTATATAATAGTAGGTATATAAAAACACGCACGTATTCGAATGCAACATTGTGTCAAAATTTCAAAGCAATCGGTGAAGAACTTTCGGAGATTTAAGATTTTGAACAAACGAACATTTACATTTTTATTTATATATAGAAAGATATTATTATTATTATTATTATTATTATTATTATTATTATTATTATTATTATTATTATTATTATTATTAATCATCATCATCGCACAGTCAGCCAGATGTTCAGACTGGATTTGGCATTTTTGTCTACCTATCGAGTCCTTCCCAAGGACCTGGAATAGGCAGAGGTGGATGTTTGAATTGATGGTATTACAGATATCGTCGCAGGATGGAAGCAGTTCCTACTAAGGCCGCCTTTTGCAATTGACTAATGGCGAATTTGTCAATGCCAATGGTGTTCAAGTGGTGCTCCAGTTGTTTTGGGATTGCACCCAAGGCGCCTATTACTATTGGTATTACCCTTGCATGCTTTTGCCACAGTCTTTCTATTTGTAGGTCTTTGTATTTTGTTATCATCTCCAGTTCTTTCTCGTCTATTCTGCTGTCTCCAGGCACTGCCACGTCCACTATCCAGACTTTTTTGTCTTTCTTATCGACAATTGTTAAGTCCGGGGTGTTATGTTGCAGGTGCTTGTCTGTTTGAATTCTGAAGTCCCAGAGCAATTTAACTTTATCATTTTCTATGACTTTCTCTATTTTATGATCCCACCAGTTCTTGCTTACAGGCAAATGATATTTCTTGCAGATCTTCCATTGCACCATTGTTGCTACTTTGTCATGCCGCTGCTTGTAGTAGTTGTTGTTGTTATTATTATTAAAATTTATTGGCTGCCCATCTTACCCCAGGGTAACCCTGTGGTAACTTAAGAGTGGATTGAGTTTTGCTTTTCTTAAGCAAAGAGATGGCTAGAAGTCAACGAGTTTAGCTTGAAATCTGGAGCAGTAGAGAGGTGTCAGGAAATACAAGCAGGCATAGTTATTCTAAAACTGTACAACTGAGCACACGTCTGCCAACTGTCAAGACCTTCTGGTGGCTGATTTGCAGCACTGAGACACAGTAAAAGAATTGCAAACTTTTAAAACTCCTGACTTAATAAAAAAATAAATACAAATAACAAAATTTCTAATTGCTTTCTGAGCCTAAATCAAGGTTTTTCTTGAGGGTGAAAAAAGCCAGACATGGTTGAGGCTCAAATTGTCTGCAGGACTCTCTACTCCATTCACCACACCTCAAATTCTCCAGCTTTCAAGAGGGCCTCTTTTGCAGATCCCAGACTAAAAACAGGAGCAATTTTCTGCTTTTCCCATCAATCAATTCCACTTTACTGTGGAACTGATTGCCTGCTCAGGAGGGGTCTTAAACCTTAAACCTTCTTCATCACATTCTTCATCAATGTGATGATTTTGTTTCTATTTGCTATTCTTTTCCTTGTCACTGTGTTCAAGTTTTATTGTAAGCTGCCCAGAGCCAATGGAAGAGTGGGTTGATGAACAGATATTCTGAATGCAATAAATGAACTAAAGGCAGGTCACTTGTATTGATTTGAAATCATTTAGTATCAATCATAATGAATAGGGTTAACTCTTATTCAAGCCAGACCTAAATTGTGTAGTTTTGTCATTCATCACCAGTACTCTGTATTTCATCTGGAAAACAACCTGGCAGCTGGCATTTCATTTCCTTGCCAATTACACACATACACACACTTGAAGTTCATAATTACTTTACTCCGAAGCAGGAGCCTGCCCTGTTGACAATCCTCGGGCTGCATTAAAAATTGAGCACTATTTATATGGGAAATTATTTTCCGGAGTCAAAAAGAAAGCCAAGCTTTTAGAGTTATGCATAATCGCCAGGAAACTCTCTCTGGGCAGTGGGACATTTTGTAGGAACATCAAGCACTACGGAAGCTGGATAATCTAAGGCCCTAGGACACAATTTCTCCAGGCAGTACAGCTGCTTCATATCCCAAAAGGAGAAATATGGGACTATGCATTTGTAGATAGGAGAATAAGAAATAACGTTCAGAATGTTAACTACAATGGTGGACTTCAAAAACACACATGTAAAAACAAAAAAAAAAGGATGGGGGTACTTTTTGCCACCCTAACATTATTGCAGAAGCCAAGAGGCACTTGTATCATTAACACAATCAGAGTGTGCTACTGTTTTGCAACCTGTATTTTTCTCCCTAACGGTGCATTTTTAAGAGATCTTGTTATGAGAGCCATCAAGCAGCCTACATCAGCAATCAGCACAGAAAGCTTAGCTTTATGTCAAGCTACAAATCTTATTAGATTTGTATAAATCCAACAAGTGTCCTAGAGAGGACCCTTAAACCAGCTCTAGGTATTCATCCATTGAGTTGAGATTCTGCTAGATAGCCTTGTCTTCTCCCATCTTTGGACAGGTATTTTTCTCCTGTTTCAAATCCTTGTCTTATGTGGTTTAAAGGGCTGTTTTGCAGAGTCCATCAATCAACCCTAACGTGCAGATTAACTAACTTTTAAGTTACCCATACCCTGCAGCCCGTCTGCTCCTCATTTGTTTTTTTTTTCCCACTTCACTTTCACCTTGAGTGAGCAAGCCAGCACAAAGGAAGACATTAATCAGAGGGAAGAGGAATCAGCCCCTTCAAAAGAAACAAATTGTGCAATCTAGTTTCCTGTTATGGGCATGATAAGATGCTACAGGCTCTTCTCTTGCCAGAAGCGAGAAAGAGTTAACTGAGGGTGCACACATCCTCACCTATTAAATCGACAAGGAGTTACAATTTGAGGACCGAGCAAAATATGAAAAGACCATAGAGGGGGACCAATCAGACTCAAACGCAGCAGGGAATTTTAAGTCAACCACTTCTTCTGCCTCAGCAACCCAAAAGTTGCTCTAAATGCCACCTGGAGTCATCAGGTTGCTGACCACGTTACCTGTTTTAATATCCAGCAGGTGCTTTTTCTTCTGTTGTTTTTCTCGTTTTTCTTTTTCTGCTTTCTCTTGAGCGATTCTGGCCCGTCTCTGCTTTTCTTCCATTTCTTTCCTTCTCATATTATCCTTTGCTGCTTGCTAGAAAGAAAGAAAAAAACGTTATCAAATATTAAGATATTTTTTTTTCAGATTTCGTGACAGAATGATGATGACATATTTTTACTTGGTTCACACAAACACAGTTGCCTCAAGACTTAAGGAGCGTCATCCTTGAGGACCACAGGACCAGACCTTCTCAATTGATCTCTGCTTCCTGGAATAGGAATCCTTCTGACTGGCCCACAACCTATAACTATTTTGGAAAATGCTAAAAGCCGGCTATGTTCTGTTATGCAAAATTAGTACACATTTATTCCAACTTCAGATCCTCACTTGGTCATAAAGTCCACAAGTGAGAGGGACCTTGGAGTCCTAGTGGACAATCAGCTAAATATGAGCCAGCAGTGTGCTGCAGCTGCCAAAAAGGCCAACACAGTGCTAGGCTGCATTAACAGAGGGATAGAATCAAGATCAGGTGAAGTGTTAATACCACTTTACAATGCCTTAGTAAGGGCACACTTGGAATACTACATCCAGTTTTGGTCACCGCGATGTAAAAAAGATGTTGAGACTCTAGAAAGAGTACAGAGAAGAGCAACAAAGATGATTAGGGGACTGGAGGCTAAAGCATATAAGGTAAGGCTGCTGGAATTGGGGATGTCTAGTTTAATGAAGAGAGGGAAGAGGGGGGACAGGATAGCAGCCTTCCAATATCTCAGGGGTTGCCCCAAAGAAGAGGGAGTCAAGCTCTTCTCCAAAGCACCTGAAGAAGGCAGGACAAGAAGCAACGGGTGGAAACTAACCAAAGAGAGAAGCAACCTAGAACTAAGGAGAAACTTCCTGACAGTGAGAACAATTAACCAGTGGAACAACCTGCCTCCAGAAGCGGTGAATGCTCCAACACTGGAAGTTTTTAAGAAGAGACTGGACAGCCATTTGTCCGAAATGGTGTAGGGTTTCCTGCCTGAACAGGGGGTTGGACTAGATGACCTCCAAGGTCCCTTCCAACTTTAGTATTATTATTATTAAGATACTCTTAGATCAGGGGTCCCCAACCCCTGGTCTATGAATCAGTACCGGGCCGCAGCATGCCAGCAACCGGTCTGCACAAACAAGCAAAGTCCCAGGCAACACACAAATCCACACACCCTCCGGTCCGTGGAAAAACCTCTCTCCACGGAACCGGTCCCTGGTGCCCAAAAAATTGTGGACCTCTGTCTTACATGATTTGTTCTCCTGGCCTGTTTTTTGTACTAACTTAGAATGATGATGAGGTGAACAAAACCTCAAATTTAGCTTCAGTTCTCTCATGCTTCTGAAGGAAGAAGGATCTTGGTGTAGCTGCTCAACAATTGAACAATACGCTGAAGTAACTGGCCGGTCACATTGTCTTCTAGCTAACCCAACCCCCGTAAGTTCCAGAAGACAACAGTGATAAACCAGTATTATGTTGCCATCAGGAAAACTACAGAAGCTACGTCTGCGTAGCCTTCAAGAGTTGAGTACAGCTTGGGGTGGAGAGAAGTCTAATGAATAGCCTGTTAAAAACAAGACAACACACAGAGACGAGGACAAAAGGGAATCTAAATAAAATGTAATTAGATTGACTAGAATGAACAGGATTACTCACTAAGTACCCGAATGATTAGGATTAAATACTATTTGGGGGCAAAGACGGGAAATAAAAACCAATCAAGGATAATAACGGGACAGGAGGACTTTGACATCTGCTCTCGTTTTGTTACGAGTGCTTTACCGTGAACATCGTTTTGAAGTTGCTCAAGTCGGTAAGGAATTCTTCTACTGAAATTTTCTTTAAATCAATGGCATAATATTCCATGACATCCCGGTACAGGTTTTCCATGCTTTTGTGTATTGTAGAAAGTTGCTTGAACTGTTCTTTTGCTTGGATGAGAAAGCTGTGTTAGGCTTGTTAAAGTTATATTCAGAGTAGAGCGGTATTAAAATAAACCAAGACGGAGATTTTCAAAAGCCTTGCTGAGACTATTCAGAAAGTACTAAAATGGGTAGAGTGCTGTAACACATAACCTCTTTCTCTCTCTCTCTCTCTCAACAATAGCGTTTCTCTCGTGATAAGACTGGTGTTTAATCTTTTAGAAAGGATTTCTCATAGGAAACTAAGGCAATCAGTAATTAAGCATTCCAGCAACTTATTAAGGGCTATCCCTGTATAAAATGATGGGGGAAAATTGTTTTGATACTAAAGTTATCAAAATAACTTTCTGCTATGTATTCAAGATGGGCAGTGATTAATATTTATACGTTATCTATATGTAAGGGTGTAGGTCTATACATATGTTGTATCTAGCATGTTTAAATGTGTGTATGTATGTGTACACTTTGAGAGCAAGCAACTAGATTTTATTTTTTTAATGTGTGCCAATGTACCCACAGTAAAAAAATGACAATATATGTTATCTATCTATCTATCTATCTCCAAAGTGCCTGAAGGCAGGACAAGAAGCAACGGGTGGAAACTAATCAAGGAGAGAAGCAATCTAGAACTAAGGAGAAACTTCCTGACAGTGAGAACAATTAACCAATGGAACAACCTGCCTCCAGAAGCAGTCAATGCTCCAACACTGGAAGTTTTTAAGAAGAGACTGGACAGCCATTTGTCCGAAATGGTATAGGGTTTCCTGCCTGAGCAGGGGGTTGGACTAGATGACCTTCAAGGTCCCTTCCAACTTTACTATTATTATTATTATTATTATTATTATTATCATCATCATCTATCTATCTATCTATCTGTGTCTGTCTGTCTCTACCTACCTACCTACCTACATCTATCTACGTCTGTCTGTCTGTCTGTCTGTCTGTCTGTCTGTCTGTCTATCTATCTATCTATCTCTAGCCACCTATATCTGTCTGTCTATCTCTATCTTATATTCCTATCATCTATCCATCTGTTCATCTGTCTATCTATTATCTATCTATCTATCTATATCTACCTACCTACCTACCTACCTACCTATATGTCTGTCTGTCTGTCTGTCTGTCTGTCTGTCTGTCTGTCTGTCTATCTATCTATGTCTGTCTGTCTGTCTGTCTGTCTATCTATCTATCTATCTATCTATCTAAAATTCTTTATTACAATGCTTCTGGTTATATTTCTACTTACAATCCATACGAACATATTATCTAGTGCAGCGGGCAGGTTTTGTTTATGTACATCATTTTTTATTACAAGCTTTAACCAATAAAGATTTTTTTTTTAAAAAAAGGAGTGTCAAAATAGATAATCGCAAATAAACATTGACTGTACAACAATCCATCACGCATCTTAAATCTTACTAGCGATCCCCTGCCTTGATGCTCGATCTGAAAAGGTTACGACATTGCTGGTCTGATAAAAAGCCTTATCAGCAAATAGGAAATCATACAGAATGACTTTGTATAGGGAGTGCTCGCTAGAAAGAAAAGAATAAGATTTTGATGCAGTATGAATCATTTATTCCACATAAACTCGCCCAGATACATGGGTAAAGAATCTAAGCATGTAAATCAATTCATTATAAAGTCCCCACTCACATATCTATTTACTCATTACAAGTGCTTAATACTTTTTTCCTGTGCAACATTTTCAAAGAGTTTACGGTGCCAAATCATGGCATAGAATTTACTAAGTTTATTATTGCATAGAACACTTTTTTTGTTGTTGTTCTATTGCAGCATGGTAGGCTTTCTTGTCTCTACAAAATGGCATTAAAAATAAAGCAAATAAAAAATAAGTAAATAAATAAAAATTTAAAATAAAATAAAAATGGTTTAAGATTGTTTGGCTTTATTTTTATATTTCAGCCCCCAGGCCCCCAACATTTTTTACAAATTCTAGATGAAATATCATGCTAAGAAATCAAGGATTAATGCTAATGATGCAACGTTTCTAAAATTTCACTAAATATAAATCTTCATTTCTGAGATCTTGCTAGCAATTTTTTACACTTGTATTGCACCAATCTCTCCCCACCATCAGCTTCCAATGGGGGAAGTGGGTGTCAAAATATTTGCAGTTAACTTTGGAGATAAGCCTGACCATTAATCCTTGCTAGTAATTAATCAGGGTCTAGTTAGTTAAAACACAGCTTCTCTCCTCTCCCCATTTTTCTGTAGAAGAGAGATTTCATTTCTTCCACTCTTTTTTCCCTTTTCCTCTGTTATTAGGCAGAAGGGAGGAGAATACATGTGAACATATTCATGTGTTTCTAAATATGGTTTATGTTTCCAGGAAAGGGTGGTTAAGAATGTGCAATAAATCCGAGGAAAAAGGAAGTGAAATATAACAGACAATGTACCATTCTGGTCATAAAATCAATACTCAATTAAAAATGGATTTGCTATATTTAAAAGGCCTTTCAAAATACAAAACCAAACCAAAGAAAAGATAATGAGTAGCATTAAAGTATTACATCCTTTTTTTTCTTTAAATTACTTTGTAAATTATACCTGCATGTTTAAGGGTAAGTTTGTAAATGCTTTTCAAATACTTACTCCTTGTTTAACTTAGTGTTTAAATCCAGCATTAAATAGCAGAAGAGGTACATAAGACTGAGGGCCCTTTTGATGGCTCTGATTTTTGCCACCCAAACATGACAATATTTTTATTACCCAAATATAATAAGGTAATATTTGAGGGGCTGTCATAGAGAAGAGGGGGGGGGGTCGACCTATTCTCCAAAGCACCTGAACAAGAAGTGGATGGAAACTAATCAAGGAGAGGAGTAACCTAAAACAATTAATCAGTGGAACGGCTTGCCTCCAGAACAGTGGTGGCGAACCTATGGCACGGGTGCCAGAGGCGGCACTCAGAGCCCTCTCTGTGGGCACGCGCGCCATCACTCCAGTCCTAGGCCTTCAGCTGGGTTTTATAAAAGCTTTTCGCTTTAGGCCTCCGTTGCCGTGTACAAAAAAGAAAATAATCAATCAATCAGTCAATTTCAACTTCTCGCGAGAAAAAAAAAGATCTTGCAAAGTTGGAATTGATTGATTGAACTTTTTAGTCCCACCCAGTCTGTTGTTACCACCGTAGTCACGCCCACCCAATGGGCCACACCCACCCGGCACCCGATGATGCATAAGTGGGTTTTGGGTTACAGTTTGGGCACTCGGTCTCTAAAAGGTTCGCCATCACTGCTCCAGAAGTTGTGGTTGCTCCATCCCTGGAAGTTTTTAATATATTGGACAGCCATTTGTCCGAAATGGTATAGGATCTCCTGCTTGAGCAGGGGGTTGGACTAGATGACCCCCAAGGTCCCTTCCCACTCTGTTATTCTGTTATACTTTCATGTAATTCAGATTTCCTTCTCCATCATGTTTGCATGGAACTAATGGTTGACTTCTCCAACATGTCCATCTAGAGCAGAGGTCCCCATCTAGAGAAAAGGTCCCTCTTGGCCGCCAGGCCACGAGTAGCTGGGCAGTGCCCATGCGTGTGCTCACCCACCACCCCTCATGCCACCATTGCCGCAAGTGTTGCACGGGCAATGGCAGCGCCACTAGTATTGCGCCGATGGCGGCAGAACCGCAAGTGACAGGTGGCCCGCGGCGTGGTCCTTGCGCAGGGGCGGTGGCACGAGCCTCGCACCGAAGGCGGCACTGCTGCAGGCCGTGGCGCGAGCCTTGTGTGGGATCGGCGGTACGAGCCTTGCACCGGGAGTGGCATTGCGGGCATTGCGCAATCCTCACACTGCGAGCCTGGAGGCAGCAGCACAAGCCTCACACAGGGGCTGCCGTCGCTGAGAGCCTCGTGCGCATGCTCGCTACCCCATTTGCGTGGTGCACATGCCCGCAGCCTGTTTGTACGCACACGCGCACGTGTGGCCGCATCCATGTTTGCGCATGCACACATAAGGCGCCCGCCCCTCCCTCTCCCACCGGGCCGCCAAAACAAAAAGGTTGGAGACCCCTGATCTAGAGCAAAACAACTGCCACAAAAAAGCAGAGCTGTAAATAAACAGTTCTGCAAAAACGGGACTTGCAAATCTAGATGTAAAACAAACACAGTAGTTTGTGATCGTTAAGATCTTAACTCAGTTACCTATAGAATAAAAGCTTAGGCTATATGGAAAGCATTCCCGCATTGTAAGAAGCATTACATTGCCTTTTTAACATTTCTGATTATTATTATTTTTTACTGAGCAGTTCGGAAAACTGAACTATTCTATTTTCCAACCACAACAATAGTAGCTACACAGCTTCTTCAAGCTATAGAGCAGGGGTCCCCAACCCGTGGGCCGTAGCCTACTGGCCATCAGGCCGCAGGGCAGGCTGGCCAGTGTGCGCGCAAGTGCATGCACACGCCCTCACTTGCGCTAGTGCTGCAGCCGCGGGGCGCAAAAACGGGCCGCCGCTGCTCTGCAAGGCGCAAAAACCGCAGCTGCCGCACCACCGGGCACAGAAACAAAGCACTGCGCCACGCAAGAACGGAGCAGGGTTAGTGAGTGTCACGCGGGCGTGAGCCCCGCCCCATTTGCGGCACGCGCGTGCTTGCAACCCCTTGCGCACACCCGCACACACGTACAAAATGCTTCCCCCTCCCTTTTCCTCCAGTCCGCCAACCGACAAAGGTAGGTGACCGATGCTATATAGGATCATCTAACATTTGCATCAAATACCCCATTTTTCCTCTACACATTTTTTTTTTAATTAGCAAGCACGTAGTCATTACCAGGAACGAATGTAATTCCACTGTTCCCCAATTATTCTCTGTCTACAGGGAATGTTAACAGGAGGCTATTACGTTTTAACAGTGTTTAAAGATCAAACCATCTGTTTAAGCGTCGCGTGTGGATTTAGCATAGAGTGCTTACGTATTTTTTGTGACATTTCCAACCACGTTTTGTTTTATAAGCTTACAATGTACGCCTGGCTCTGTTGCCTGTGTTACACTAGCATCTCGCATTAAGAAATATTTCATCGTATTTCCTCTTGGAAGAAAGTACTATCAACAGCTTGCAATATTACCAGTTCTCCAATGTGGGAATTGCCCGTCGTAGAGAACTATTTAAAAGGAAACCGAGAATATTCATCATTCTATTCCATTGAGTTAGAGACTAATTTGCGCTTTAAACTCATAACCTCTACAAATTAGAAAGGGAAGAATCATTAAGCCTTGTTGACTGCTGGGGGGAAAAAAGGATGTTCAGTGTAGCGCTTTTCGGCAAAATTGTTTTAAAATGTGACCAGGGAAAACACATTCTGGTGCCATAATTTTCTAAACACAATCAATATAATTGGAAAATTGTGCATGGTTTCGAAGGGAGGGAGGGTGGAAAAAAAGGGTAATTTCTTTTTATACAATTGCATTAAACAATTGTAATAAACAAAGCTCACAGAGGCCAGAAGGAGCGTCTACACTACATCCTTTTTGTAAATGCAACATCAGTTTTACTAGTCACAGATCAATAGTAACGAGATGGTCATATTAAAGGTTTTGAAGATCTTTAGATCGTTAGCATAATTATTTTGTTACTTACTAAACATGACTGAAAAACTGGCACTTAGTAGCCAGACAATGGATATTTGGTAGTCTTCCACAGATTTACTAATCTACATGTGGACCAACAAAAACATGACACTTTATCTGCTTTACTTGTGTCAATTCGGATTTTTCCTTCCACATAGAGAGCACAAAGGACTTCCTTTATAAGTAAGAACTAAAAAAAAACAACCCCATATTAAAGGAACCTAGCAGAAGAACTATTAGAATAAAGTAGGATAGTCTATATCAGGGGTAGGCAACCTTGGCTCTTTTATGACTCATGGACTCCAACTCCCAGAATTCCTGAGCCAGCATGGCTCAGTTTAGAAGCCTCTCCCTTCCCCTCAGCATGGCTGGCTCAGGAATTCTGGGAGTTGAAGTCCACGAGTCATAAAAGAGACAAGGTTGCCTACCCCTGGTCTATATCAAGCAATACATTAATTTAAATACTCTTCAGAAGCTTAGGGAAATTAATCAAGTGTTATTTGTATAAAATACTAACCAAGCTTAGCCTAAGGAGAATTCAGAATGGGCAAACTGAACGAGTATCCCTCAATGGCAAGTTCGAGCTCCATTCAAATACAACCACTATCCAACACTCACCAGATGGCAGAAAAATGTTGTGGGATTTAGCTTCTTTGTCATTTAACCAATCAAAAACTAGTGTCGTCAAAAATGAGGACTATATGTGGAGTAACGGTTAGGCAGATAAGTTTAAAGTAGATTTTGAAAACAAAGTGTAGACGTTATTTAACAACAACAAAAGGATATGGACATTTTTGTCACAAATTTGTCGTGGACGTCTTCAGGTTGAGGAAAGGTCTTCAAATCACTCTCAAGTTGTTTGATCTGTCCTTCCATCTGTTTTAGGCTCTTTTCCAAGCTCTCCGCTGAAACTAAATCCACAAACATGCATCTTTAATGATTAATAATTTTTGAAGGATAGGATACACAGCCTACTCCAGTTTCACAGCATAAAAAAAAACTTACTTTAGCCAAAATAAGATAATGCATGCATTTCCTATTTCAAGAAATGAAAACCTTTTTCATGGCCAATATAGGATTCTAAACATGCCTCGTGGAAATCAAAGATGGCTTTAAATATTCAAAGATAATAAGAATTATATCCATGGAACTTATTCTAAAGGGAAGAATTATTTTCTAAAGAGATGTTGTGTCTAAAATGTTCTCTATAACCTGCAAATATATTATTATTTCCGGGATTTAAATATAACCTATGACATACATTTGGCTAGCACTCCTGACTTCAAGTACCTAATAATCTGATCCTTCAGTCACTGAACTATGTCAGATCTTACAGTTGATCTGTTAGTTCCAGTAAATCTTCTCCCAACTGTTGTGTCTGATCAATGTTCCCAAATGTCTAATTCTTTGACCATTAACATATCAAAACATCACTTTTCCTTGTCAGAATATTGCTTATATCCTAAGGCAGGGGTCTTCACATTTGGCCCTTTTATGACTTGTGGACTTCAACTCCCAGAATTCCTCAGCCAGCATGCCTGGCTGAGGAATTCTGAGAGTTGAAGTCCACAAGTCATGACAGGGCCAAGTTTGAAGACCCTTGTCCTCAGGTATCCTGTAACACCGATATCTCTTTCAAAGGAATATACCCATGAGACCAAATGTCCATGAGATGCCTACAATTGTAAATAGTGTAGGAATGGTCAATTAAAAAAACCCAACAGAGTGAACATGGAAAACTTCTAACATAGCTATGGATGCCAGAATATTCTCTTCCAACATGTAACACACTATTACATATTTTGCCATCTCCATTTTTTTAAGGAATTAATCTCCAATTTTATTCACACCAGGACACATGCAAACAACAAAGAGGCCCGCACAGTATTTCAGACCGGGCACTAATGACCCTGGGGACATCTAGGCTTGTTTGACTGCTTTGATTTGTCACACATTATTCCTTCTACTTGCAGGCATGATCGTTCACCTACTTTCTTTCTGAATGAAAAGCTAAGATAGAAAATCTTCAAGAGGAGACAACAGCATAAAAACAATGTGTCTGTAAAGACTTTATCGGATACAACACAGGAAGAGGAGTAGAACAAATGCAAGATTTTTTTTTAAAGACATGATGCTAGGTGAAACCAGATTGAATTTCCTAAAACTTTGCAATTATTAGCCTTTTATTTGAAAGGCATGCATGGAAGCCATGAAAAATATTTTAATTCCCCAGTTTGCTGCTTTTTGTATCGTAACACTCTTGTACTCTGGACGGTGTGATCTGAAACATAATCACTTTTCCCCCTCCATATTCTCTGCTAATTTAAGATAAGGGAAAGTCATCTTGAAAGAAATAGAAATAACTGTGAATGGAAATTCATAACTGCAGGCAGAGGTTAATGCATGCTACAAATTTAAAATTCTCCCTTTCAGAAATTATTCATTGTGGTCAGAGTTTAACAAAACAAAACATAAATATCAGTTTTAATACAGACCTCTGCTTGCTTTGTCTAAGTGCTGCAAGTCTTCAAGAAAGCTCAAAACATTAGGGTATTTTTCTTCACAGATTTCAACCAGAAAGTGAAGCAGGGTTATCGTCTGATCAGCTGATTTGGTATCCTTTAACTAGGCAACAATCAATACATTGGTAAAAGAATTAATATAGTTCCGTTTCATCTTATTACACATTCATTTTTTATTCTCTAACTTGGCATTAGATTTAATTAGACCCACAAGTTAAACATAGAATAGAATAGAATAGAATAGGATAGAATAGAATAGAATAGAATAGAGTAGAGTAGGGTAGGGTAGGGTAGGGTAGAACAGAAGAGAAGAGAAGAGAAGAGAGTAGAACAGAATAGAAAATATGGCATAGAATAGAATAGAAAATATGGAATAGAATAGAATAGAACAGAAAATATGGAATAGAGTAGAGTAGAGTAGAGTAGAGTAGAGTAGAGTAGAGTAGAGTAGAGTAGAGTAGAGTAGAGTAGAATAGAATAGAATAGAAGCTGGAAGGGACTTTGGAGTTCTTCTAGTCCAGCCCTCTGCTCAAGCAGAAGACCCTATACCATTTCAGAGAAGTGACTGTCTATGACTTGGGATGTAGAAGCGTCGTAGAATGGAGACTGCCTAATAACCTATAAGTGTCTTTGAGTTCTACCAGGAAAGAAAAGATGCTGTGCATTGAGAGATAAATTGTGATATCTAACTTTAAAACTCAACTGTGGGGAAGATATTAAGATACCCATTCACTTTTAACTTGACCCAAAAAGACACACAATTGGCTAATGGCATCCGTTGAGGGATTCAAGATGGCGCACACCTTTTGACCTTTTTTAAGCACCCTGCCAACAAAAGTGCGTATAGTCAAGGCCATGGTTTTCCCAGTTGCAATATATGGCTGTGAAATTTGGACCATTAGAAAGGCTAAGCGCCAAAGAATTGAGGCCTTTGAACTATGGTGCTGGAGAAGACTCCTGCGAATCTCCTGGACTGCAAGGCGATCAAACTGGTCAGTCCTAGAGGAGATCAACCCCGACTGCTCTTTAGAAAGCCAGATCCTGAAGTTGAAACTCAAGTACTTTGGCCACCTAATGAGAAGGAAGGACTCACTGGAGAAGAGCCTAATGCTGGGAAAGATGGAGGGCAATAGAAGAAGGGGACGACAGAGAATGAGGTGGCTGGATGGAGTCCCTGAAGCAGGAGGCATGAGCTTAAAGGGACTCCAGAAGATGGTAGAGGACAAGAAGGCCTGGAGGAACGTTGTCCATGGGGCTGCGATGGGTCGGACACGACTTCGCAACTAACAACAACAACAAATACGGTAGGTTGTCTTGTGATTTGATCTTAATTCAATCTCCCTACATAATCAAAGCCACCTCATTCTATTTTTCTACATTCATTTTTGCATTTAATCCACGTTCACTTAGCAACTATTCATTCTTGACCCTACCTGCTCTTATTTATCATACACACTTCTGTAATAGCCCATCTGCTCTGCATACAACTAAGGTTGGTTTCTTCCGACATACCAAATTCTACAAAGCGGGCAGAAGTGCATTTTTATATACCGTTGTTTTCAGAGGGGGTTTTTTCGTGACAGTCCTGCCCTTACAAGTAATCATATGGACCAGCATTTCCACTTTTCAAAACTTCTCCATTTCCCCAGCCTTAAATGCTCTGATTTCCCCACTCCGTGTATTTGCTCTAGATAGGGACAGCGATTTTTTTTTTAATTGAGAAAACGAGCTTTTTCTAAAAACTGCAATCATTCTCTCTGCTTCACTGGATGAGAACCATAAAAATTAATTGATTTCATGTGCAAATTGTGTTGGGGTTGGTAGACAGAACAGATATTTACAACTATTTTATTGGGGGGGGGAGAGAATCTTGGCAAATTTACATATTTATAATTATTCCATTGGCAAGGGGGGAAAAAAGATAATCAGCGGCAGCAATACGTCAAGGGCCTGACTAAAGCACCAGATTCCACTCGTACAGGCTGTTGAAAATACTCACTTTACATAAGGAGCAGAGGTTGAATCCAAATGTCTGGGCATTTCGCGATCCAGCGTTCATGTAGTTCCCCATTAACAGGACTAGTTCGAGAAGCTGACTGAAGCTTCTGCTCTTCTTTATCTCTTCACAGGCTGTGCTGACAGCCATGATTTCAGGCTTGGTGTTATTCACTTGCTCCTCAAACTGAAGCTTAAAAAGAATAGCACCCAACCGTGGTCTCAGTCGCGTTACGCTGCTCATCTGGTTGAAAAGAGGAGGAGAATACCTGTGTCACACTTGACAATTTTGTACAATCGTGATACATACAAGGATTCCTGATAGATCCAGAGACTGGATAAATCAAGGACGGTCATATGAATGTTATGACGATCTCTCTTTTACTTCAAGGTAACTACAGAATACAGAGTAACAGGGTCAAAGAGACCATCTAGCTGGGTTTTATAAAACTTTTTTGCTTTAGGCCTCCGCCGCCGTGTGTAAAAAAAAAAAAGTTCAATCAATCAATCAATTTCAACTTCTTGCGGGGAAAAAAAAGATCTCGCAAAGTTGAAATTGATTGATTGAACTTTTTAATCCCACCCAGTCTGCCGTTACCACTGCAGCCACGCACACCCAATGGGCCACACCCACCCGGCACCCGACAATACATAAGTGGGTTTTGGGTTGCAGTTTGGGCACTCAGTCTCTAAAAGGTTCGCCATCACTGATATACTGTATACCATCTTCACGGAGCACCAAAACGGATCATTCCGGATAGGGGAGTCCAATTTACTGCAAAATTTTGGAGGGACTTCCTTAAGCTGATCAGATTCACACAAGGACTATTGTCAGCTTTTCACCCAAATACAAATGGAGCGGCTGAGAAAGCGAACTCAATGGTGGAACAATACATTAGTTGCTATGATGATTGCCAATGATCTATGGCCCCTGTCAGAAAGCTTATTAGCCGTTATTTCAAACTTATTAGGTTTACAGGCTTACTTTTGTAGATTATAGATTTTACTCTCACAGGAGTTTTATAGTAAACACATTTTATGTGCATGCATATATTCATCAGATATTAAACCTCCCCTAGATATCTTATAGTAAGTTAGTTTTATGTTACAATCATCTGACATGGCCGTTGTAGGCTTTTTCCATGTTACGGAAACATTTTGTACCCTTGAGATTTAACTTTTATCGGACTGCACTTTATGTTGGACAAAGAGAGCACAATAAAATGAAGTGGATCGATGTATCAACCTAACAGATGCTGGTTTACCAAATGTTTATCGGGGCGTCGTAATTGCTACAGCACTGGTGCTTTGCAAGCAGCAAGGAGAACAGCCAAGAGGTGGCTGTGCAGAATTGTTTCAGTTTCAGTTCATTTGCACCAACTGGGCCAAAGACACACCCTGCTCAGTTAATCAGAAACAGGTGTCTTCTGTGTGTTTTCTTAGATGTCACGAAGCCACTTAGGAGCATGGTGGCTTAAGTGGTTGCAATGCTGGGCAGGAAGTTAGCAAGCCCATGTTTGAGACCCAACAGCTGTCGTGGGGCAGGGTTGAGTCCCCGTCCTTCGCTCCAGCTCCTTCCGGGGACATAAAAGGAGCTGGCAACTGGACATCCCCCAGGGAAATGGTGAGGCCACCAGCTAATCCTTTCAACCTGGAAGCACTTTGTTGCTTCTGACACAAGTGCAATGAAGCCTCTTTTCAAGTGCTTTGGACAGCACATGGGATTAATATAATTACGAGACGTTTACTGCCACGCAGGTCACAGTGTGTTATAGAAGACTTATTCTCTTGTAATTATTTTAAAAACATGGCGAGGCTGCCTCGTACTTTTTTTTTGTCTCACATTTATAATTAGAAATTGAAAAGCAAGCAGGTTAGCACAGCAGCAGAAAGAATAGAGGCAGAAATTCAAAAATGTCAGAACAGTCTCACTCACTGTCTCGGTGACAAGAGCAAAGCCTTAAAAATTCCTCCTGTCAGGAAATGACTTGAAGAAGTTGGTTAAAAGTCATATCAGAAACTTAATACCACGGAAGATTAACTCCTCCCTGACTACCAGCTACCCAAAAGAAGCAAACAGAATACCGTGCAAAACTCACAGAAAAGGACTGTTTTTTTTTTTAAAAGAATACAGAATCTTAAAATCGTATTTTGAAATGAATCAATCTATTTACCACGATAGCGAACTGCTCCGGGTCAGACAAATTCTTATATTCGTTCTTCAACTTGGATAATTCATTGAGTTGTTTTTGGTCAGGAAGATGTTTTATTAAATTCTACATTCCATGGAAAAGATACAAAATTAAAATGTTCATAGGTGTTTTTTTTAAAATCCCCTTTATTATTGCATGATTACTCGCACAAAAAAGAAGGGAGATAAACTTCTCTTCAATCTCATAAGGCAACAAAGCCAAAAATAGACGGTAAGGAAAAAGTATTTATTATTGAAAAATTAAGGACCCCTTAAAAATCCTAAGAGATAAATGTCAAACGCAGTAGGCAGTTTATTACATTTTAAACCAGTGGTTCTCAACCTGTGGGTCGGGACCCCATTTGGGGTCGATCGACCATTTCACGGGGGTCACCAAGCAAGGCTGTCCGCCATTTTTTTTGTCTGCCATTTTTCCCCCTTTTCCGGCGGGTGCCTTACCTCCCTTGGGCTGGGCCAGCTGGTGGTCGGCCTGCTCCGTCTCTGCCGCTTGCCAGCTGCGCCTCGGCCAGCGCAGGGGGCGGAACCACGCATGTGCGGCGCTCCCGGGCAGGGAAAGTCCTCGACTTACGACCGGTTTAGTCCTCGACTTACGACCGGTTGGGGTCGCGGCATTAAAAAGGTTGAAAACCACTGTTTTAAACTGTCCAACTGCCCTATCTTAGAGAATTCTGCTGATACGCATAGTATAAACGAAACAGTTATCTAACGTTAAAAGGTCCATTATCTTAATAAAAATGTAAGTGTAACAAATACAGAAGATATAATCTGCCATCTTTGGTGATAATACCAAATTGGATTGACATATACTGTAAACACAAAATTAGGGTTGCTTGTGCATGTCACTTTGTCCATGACTTTCATATATTTTACTACAAATGTGGTAGATTTTATGAAGATCTAGTTATTAGGAATACTTGTTTATAAAACTGTTAATCAAATTACTGCACCTGGATCATGGATTCTGACAGCTGGGTTTCATCTATTTCCAGAATCATTATTTTTATTTCTTCATAAGGCACTCGAAACGACCCTAAGAAAATAGCTAAAAACACACACACACACACACAAAGGCATTTTAGTATGTTTTTATTAAGCACTTTTCAACACTTCAAGCATTCAAGTGTTTTCAGAGACAATTTTTTTGAAGGTGGAGGAGGCCACCTTGATTGCTGTGTTTTCCTATGTGAGAACCAAGTCTCACATCTGCTTTGGGAGACAAGAAAGGTCTGGAAAAACAGGATGAATAAAGAAATATGCAGGTGAGTTAAGAAGAAAGCAGGCTGTGGCTTCCAAACAGGAAGGAAGGAAGGAAGGAAGGAAGGAAGGAAGGAAGGAAGGAAGGAAGGAAGGAAGGAAGGGAGGGAGGGAGGGAGGGAGGGAGGGAGGGAGGGAGGGNTATGTATATTAATTTGGATGTTTTTAATTGTTTTTTCTTGTTTTAAAATGTTTTTCATGTCTTAAGTGTAATATATTTTTTGAATTGTAAACTTACCAAAGTCATTGATTGAGATGAGTGGCTATAGAAAAGGAAGGAGGGAGGGAGAGAGGGAGGGAGGGAAGGAAGGAAGGAAGGAAGGAAGGAAGGAAGGAAGGAAGGAAGGAAGGAAGGAAGGAAGGAGAAATAGAGAGAAGGGAGGGAGAGAAGGAAAGTCGGAAGTCTGGTAGGTACAGAGAGGGAGGGAGGGAAGGAAAGAAGGAAGGAAGGAAGGGAGGGAGGGAGGAAAGAAGGAGGAAGGAAGGAGAAATAGAGAGAAGGGAGGGAGAGAAGGAAAGTCGGAAGGCTGGTAGGTACAGAGAGGGAGGGAGGGAGGGAGGGAAGGAAGAAAGGAAGGAATGGAGGGATGGAGGGAATAGGACATCAACAGTAATAGTAGGAGTGACAGAATACTCATAGCAACTAAGATACAATATACCAGTGCTATCAGAGCAAACCTCATTTAAGATAATTGGGGAAGGAAACTAAAAACTATTGTCCACGTCCAGAAATATAATAAAATCTGCCCTTAACAGGCTTGGGTGTGATCTTTATTTGAAATGGGGTGGAAGAGTGGCCTATTCATTTTTAGTGGCTTTACGTCATAATTCCTAATCTCTTTTACTATGGATTTATTCCGCACCCACCTCCAGAGCGGAGTCTCTGAGCGTAAATAAATGCAATTACGTAAAGACTCCACATAGGAGTAATACGTTATCACCCAACACTGCATCAGAACCAAACTGAGGAGGGGGAAAAAAAAGAATGAAAGGACACGAGATGAAAACAGGTGTGATAAGGAAAAGAAAAAATAAAAAGAATATGCACCGAATAAAAAAGTGGGAGTGCCGAAAGATACAGACTAAAAGAAAACTCCAATTTTAACAAAACAGAGTTGGAAGGGACCTTGGAGGTCTTCTAGTCCAACCCCCTGCTCAAGCTTGAGACTCTATACCAGGGGTGGGCAACCTTGGCTCTTTTATGACTCGTGGACTTCAACTCCCAGAATTCCTGAGCCAGCATAAGGGAACTATGGCCCCTTCATGACTCGTGGACTTCAACTCCCAGAATTCCTGAGCCAGCATGGCTCAGCTTGGAAACCTCTCCCTTTCCCCTCAGCATGGCTGGCTCAGGAATTCTGGGAGTTGAAGTCCACGAGTCATAAAAGAGCCAAGGTTGCCTACCCCTGCTCTATACCATTCGGGACAAATGGCTGCCCCGTCTCTTCTTGAAAACCTCCAGCGATGGAGCAACCCACAACTTTAAAACCAAAAGCTTAATATTAGCTTTATTTAAAAACGAATACTAAACATACAGGAGATATTTTCCAACTTCTGTGCCTTCGTTTTCAGTGCTCACAGCAATACACCCCTTCCCCATTTACCCTTTTTGCTGGGAGTTGTTTCCGTCAAAGACATATTAGAATCATATTTAACTCCGAAAGTAACATTAAACCCATTTTTTTTCCAAAGAAGGACAGAGATTTACTTACAAAGGTTTTGCGCGATCTTTGGATCCAGGACTTTCAGTTCTTTGATTCGTTTAATAGGTTTCCTCTCTTCAAAGCCTTCGTCTCTTTTCACTGTCACGACAAATGTTGTGGTGTGTGTGTTAAACATACAGAAATGTTTATATTAGTGCCCTTGCATAGAATTTAAGCTTCAGTGTAGTTTTTTAGGATGATTACGATCATGATTTATCACTTGTTGCTTGCATGTACACTGAGAGCTTATGCACCCGAGACAAATTCCTTATGTGTCCAGTCACACTTGGCCTATTCCATTCCATTCCATTCTAATTCTATTGGATTCCATTCTAATTCTTTCTATTCCATTCCATTCCATTTTATTTCCTTCCATTCTAATTCTATTCTAATTCTAATTCTATTTTATTCCATTCTAATTCTTTCTATTCCATTCCATTTTATTTCCTTCCATTCTAATTCTAATTCTATTCTAATTCTAATTCTATTCCATTCCATTCTAATTCTATTGGATTCCATTCTAATTCTTTCTATTCCATTCCATTCCATTTTATTTCCTTCCATTCTAATTCTATTCTAATTCTAATTCTATTCCATTCCATTCTAATTCTAATTCTATTCCATTCCATTCTAATTCTATTTTATTCCATTCTAATTCTTTCTATTCCATTCCATTCCATTTTATTTCCTTCCATTCTAATTCTATTCTAATTCTATTCCATTCCATTCTAATTCTATTTTATTTTATTCCATTCTAATTCTTTCTATTCCGTTCCATTTTATTTCCTTCCATTCTAATTCTATTCTATTCTATTCTATTCTAATTCTAATTCTAATTCTAATTCTAATTCTATCCCATCCCATTCTATTTATTTGCACCAAGCTAATAATTCAGTGGGCACTTTCTGCTTTCACAGGAAGTAAACACATTGAATAGTCTCGGCCACTGAACTTCATTTTCAAAGACAAAGTAGTAGATAGGATTCCCTTTTTGCATTTTCTGTGCTGCTGTTCTTAGAATATTTTCAGTTTGAATGTACCTTAAAGTAACTTCCTTTGGTCATCACTCCTTCTAGGTATATTACATGGTGAGAATTATTTTTCAAAAGGGCTTAGCATACCTTGAAAAGAACTAGCCCAAAACAATCGGCCTCCCAACAAATGATGGCTCATAACTAAAATACATGGTATATTTTCTCAGCTTTTAGTCACACTTCCCATAGTCTATAACAGAGTAAACAGTAATTTTAACAGCTCAGTGGAGACATTTCGGCAGTTAAGTGCATGCTTTTCTTAACTGCATTATACAAGGGGAGCTTAAATGGAAAAGTGAAATAATACTATGGGCTAAGTTCTATTCTGGGTGCGCTGCAGTTATAAATGATTGCGACCTCAGTTATTAATGTAACAATTATCATATGACACACATAAGCATTCATCAGCTGCGGTGACAAGAGCTGCAGGTGTTTATTGAAAATAAAATAAGCTCATTTTCTACAAAGGAGGCTTTAAATCAGAAAAAAAAATAATTAACTTACCGTTTTTCTGACAACAAAAGGTAAGTTCCAGCTTGCATAACAAATCAGTATTTTCATATTTTCCATCATTGGCCATTACCCAGAAACAGTTTTCAGTCATTTCCTGGGGGCTTATCTGCAAAGGGAATATAGCATCTCAATTTCCTGTTATCGTTAATGCCACACTTTGTTAGGATTGCAAAACATGTGGTTGATGGCAATGGGAAGGCCACCCGCCATCTGTAGCCTGCAGATTCCTGAGTGGAAAAACTGGTCTCCTTTGAAGGATGTGGGTAGGTTTATAGGATAAAATCTGTGTTTGTAACTCCTTTGGAGTCTTTAAAATATCAGATTCCGTCTCAAAATGATAATAATAATAATAATAATAATAATAATAATAATAATAATAATAATAATAATAATAATCAGGTTTACTTTTGGTGCTAATTCCACTGCCTTTTGAAGTGGGGCTTTCAACTGACTGCGGCTCAGAAGAAGTCAGAAATATGTTTGTTTCTATATTTACCACCTGACTTCCAATAACTCTGGGCAGTTTACCAATTGTTTTTTTAAAAAAAGCATTAAAACAAGGTCAGTCCTTCAGATATTAGCTTCTCTAGCACTGGTTGGGACACGATATAACGGCCTAAAATCCAGTTATTTTATTCAGAATAACAGAATACAGAGTTGGAAGGGATCTTGGAGGTCTTCTAGTCCAGAGGGTCCCCAACCCCTGGTCCGTGGACCAGTACCGGGCTACAGCATGCCAGCAACCGGTCCGCACAAACAAAGCTCCATCCGCGGGATGCAGGCAGCACACAAAACCACGCACCCTCCGGTCTGTGGAAAAACCTCTCTCCACAGAACCGGTCCCTGGTGCCCAAAAGGTTGGGGACCTCTGTTCTAGTCCAACCACCTGCTCAGACAGGAGACCTTATATCATATTCAGATGATTGTCCAATCTCTTCTTAAAAACCTCCAGTGATGGAGTACCCACAACTTCTGCAGGCAACTTCCATTCCACTGCTTAATTGTCCTCACTGTTAGGAAGTTTCTCTTTAATTCCAGATTGCTCCTCTCTTTGATTAGTTTCCATCCATTTTTCTTGTCCTCCCCTTAGGTGCTTTGGAGAATAGCTTGACTCCCTCTTCTTTGTGGCAGTCCCTGACATATTGGAAGTCTGCTATCATGTCACCCCTAGTCGTTCTTTTCATTAAACTAGACATACCCAATGCTTGCAACTATTCTTCATGTGTTTTAGTCTCCAGTCCCCTAATCATCTTTGATGCTCTTCTCTGCTCTCTTTCTAGAGTCTCAACATCTTTTTTACATCATGGTGACCAAAACTGGATGCAGTATTCCAAGTGTGGCCTTACCAAGGCATTGTAAAATGGTAGTATTGCTCTTCTCTGCACTCTTTCTGGAATCTTCCTTGTCTTACCTTGGACCAGTTGATTCTTTTCATGGTCACTTCAGGCTTAAATTCTTTTTTAGGTTTCAATCCGAAAGGCAGCAGTTGAGGAGGAGGAAGAGAGTGTTGACCTCCAGGTAGTCCAAGTAGCGGAGGTGGGGGTGGAGGAACGCCAAAGGCAGGTGGTAGTGGGGGCGGAGGAGGTGGAGGAGGAATAGTTCCAGAGGAAGCTCCTGGTGATGGGACCACATCTGGGGGTGCTTCAACAGATGTCAGAGGACAACTGTTGGTTGAGCCATTCTGAAAAGAAGAAAATGTTGGTATTGGTAATGTAAGCACTTTGTGTAGTAAGTGTGTACTCACTCTTTCTGCCAAAACAAACAGGACAGAGGTCAATCAATTCCACCGTCAGTCAATCCAAGAAAATCCAAAATGGCTCCCTGGTATATAAATCCAAAATGGCTCCCTTGTATATATATATATAAAATTACCCGACAAGACAAATTTAGATGTTTAGAAGGCATTTTCTAAGGGTAAAGAAAACCTGAAGTAGGTGAAAGGATTAAAGCAGAAATTAGAAACCTTTCCCAAAATATTGGTTTCAATCCACAGTCAGGGTATAAATGGGATAAAAAGGAACATAAATTGTAAGCAAGTCGTTTTTAAAGACTGTAATATTCTAATGGTTCTTATTGTTTTTAATCTTTATGTTCTATTTTTCCCCCTCCTTTGTATTTTCCTCGACTTACAAGTTTGTTTAGTGACTCTTCCAAGTTACAACAGCAATGAATATATATATATATATATATATATATATATATATATATATATATATATATATATATATATATATATATAATCTATCATCTATCATCTCTATATATATCCTGTCCGTCCATCCATCTATCTATCTCTATCATCTATCTCTATCTATCATCTATCTATCTATCTGTCTGTCTGTCTATCTCTATCTCTCTATCATCTCTCTCTATCTATCTATCTATCTATCTATCTATCTATCTATCTATCTATCTATATCTCTATCTTTCTATCATCTATCTATCTATATCTATCTAATCTATCTATCTCTACCTACCTCTATCTCTATCTAATCTATCTACCTACCTACCTACCAACCTACCTACCAGCTACCTATCATCTCTCTCTATTTATTTCTCTCTCTCTCTCTCTCTCTCTCTGTGTGTGTGTCTCTCATCTCTTATGACCATTGTTCACACTTACGACCCTTGCAGCATTCCAATGGGTCACATGATCAAAATTTAGACACTTGGCAATTGACTCATATTTATGATGGTTGCTGTATTCCGGGCTCATGTGATCTTTTGTGACTTTCTGACCAGCAAACTCAATGGGGAAGCCACATTCACTTAACAACCGTGTTACTAACTTAACAATTGCAGTGATCCACTTAACAACTATGGCAAGAAACATCATAAAATGGGGCAAAACTCATTTAACAAACATTTCGCTTAGGAACAGAAATTTTGGGTTCGTGGTCATTAAAGTCGACCACTCCCTTGTTGTATATTGTACAACTTTTTCTTAAAAATAATTCATCCTCGTTTATAATTTCATGACTTTATTCTGTGATCACTAGTGTATTATTTGTTATCTTGATATTTGTCCATGAAGTTTTAACAGTGAATTTTGGGGATCAAACATCTTAAAGGTATTTTCAATCGGTTCTGAATAGGATAAAACCACGAACTTCGGCACACTTGTAAATTCCTTCTTATTTACTTGATTCTGTTTCTAGGAGTTTATTTTTTTTCTTTCTTTCTTGTAAGCGGGAAGGTGAATCTATATATATCTTACATAAATTGTACCGCAGGAATAGTCAAGAACTGTCTCGCCCCAAGGTGAGACGGTATGTCTATTTCATCTTTCTTTTTTTTCACTTAGCTTGCTTTTTAAAAGAAAGGGTTGATTATTGTAAGTGTGATGGCTAATCCGTTTAGTTTGGTTCACTGAAAAGCAACAGATATGCATATTTTATTTTATAACTTTTAATATGTAAACTAAGTTCAGTTATATTAGTTTCAAGAAAGACCGGAATCACAAAGAACTGCTCGAATACCGCAGTAGCCACTTCTATCTGATCAAACCTGATGTACGGCGTGGCTTTATTTTATTTTATTTAAAAAATGTCATGTTTAACTACAGGGCCTATAGCATTTGCATTTCCACAGCAGACAACATCCCAAAGAGGTGGGCCAAATGTATCAGCTAAACTAACAAACAACATCCACCACAAGCGTCAAGGTAGTCCTGAACTTACAACAGTTCGTTTAGTGACTGTTCGAAGCTACAACGGCGCTTTAAAAAAAGCGACTTATGACTGTTTTTCACAGCTACGGCCGTTACAGCATCCCCAGGGTCACGAGATCAAAATCCAGACGCTTGGCAACCGACTCGTATTTATGACGGTTGCAGTGTCCTGGGGTCACGTGACCCCCTTTGGCATCCTTCTGGCCAGCAGAATCAAAGGGGAAAGCCAGACTCATTTCACAACGGTGTTCCTAACATAACGATGGCAGTGACTCATTTACCAACAATGGCAGGAAAGGTTGTAAAATGGGGCAAAATCCACTTAACGACTTTTTTCTACCTTGGAAGGAAAAGCTTGTATTTTGAGGTCAGTTGTGGTACTAAGTCCAGGACTAGCTGTAATTAATTCGAAATAGCTAACCAATGAGATGGGATTTTTAGCAGACCAGGGAGGAAGGGAGGGAGGGAGGGAGCAAGGAAGGAAGGAAATACAGATGAGGGAGGGAGAAAGGAAGATGGAGGGAGGGAGGGCACAGAGATGCAGGAAGGAAGGAAGGAAGGAAAAATAGGGATGGATGGGAGGAAAAATAGGGAGGGAGGGATGGATGGATGGATGGATGGAAGGAAGGAAGGAAGGAAAGATGAAAAAGGGGAGGAAGGAAGGAAGGAAGGAAGGAAGGAAGGAAGGAAGGAAGGAAGGAAGGAAAAATAAGGATGGATGGAAGGAAGAAAGGAAGGAAGGGTGGAAAGATGAAAAAGGGGAGGAAGGAAGGAAGGAGGAAGGAAAGAAGGAAACATAGGGATGGGAGAAAAATAGGGAAGGAAGGAAGGAAGGAAGGAAACATAGGGATGGAAGGGAGGAAAAATAGGGATGGATGGATGGATGGAAGGGTGGAAAGATGAAAAAGGGGAGGAAGGAAGGAAGGGAGGGAAGATAAGAAAAGGAAGGATGCAGATACCAAGCAACTTGGCAATACCGTACTTTAAAATAAAAGAGCCTTGTCCTTCCTGGGGACAATCTCAACAAATATTTTGTTACATAATGGCCAAGGAGATGCATTTAGGGAGATCGCAAGAACAGAGGCACTAACTCTCATTACTAATAATTACCAGCTGGTAATTAAAATGTGCATTGCATGATGATAAGCCACTAAATTAATATAGTCCCTTTTAAAGACCGAGCAGGATTGCAGACATTGATACGATATATCTGAAATACTATGTGCCATTATCTACCTACCGATAAAAATGTATGCGCCAAAACTGGAGTTGTCCCTTCCTTCCTATTTCTACTATTCTACAAACGTATTTCAAGTGTCGTGGCATCATCGCAACACCTAAAAAAGAACAACCACCTCCAACACCAGCTTTTCCTACCAAGATCGAGACCAAAAAGAACAGGAAAAAATGGCACCGCGTCTTTCTCATTCAGAAATGACAAAGCACAGAGTCAAAGTCTTACTGGTTTTTACATGAATGTGGTAGCATCACACATAAGCTTGTTGCTAATTATTTTAACTGCATAAACAGCAACTTGTGAGTGCAGATTCTTTTTTTTGTTTTACCTCGTTTTTGTAAGGTTTTCTCTCTCCATCAAGGAGACCAAGCTTTTCTTCGGTCTTCTGAAGCTGCGCCTTTGTCTCTTGATGAGCTACGAACTCTTTTTCAAACTGGAACAAAAATGAAAAGGCATCATTAAATTTACAGGTGTAAATTGTTCGTTGCCCCGAGTATTGTCATGCTATCGTACCTAGATTTGCATATTACGCAATCTTAAGTGGCTCTGGGGAGATATGAAATATCAAGCTGATTTTTATTTCAAAATGAGGGAGTGAGATTTATTTATTTATTTATTTATTTATTTATTTTAATTTATATCCCGCCCTTCTCCCAACGGGACTCAGGGCGGCTCACAACATATATAAAACAAAGGCATATATACAATCCCCCCCTGTAAAACCGAATTAAACCAAATTTTAAAGTTGTGTTATTTCGAATTCCTTAAAATGAACCCAGTATAAAATCCTCCCTAGGCCAGGTCCGCTTGCTGGAAAAGCCATGTCTTGAGGGCGCGACGGAAAGTAAGGAGATCCGGAATCGTCCGAATCTCAGGGGGTAGTTNCACTGCTTCCCATACCCAGGACACAGAAGCAGAAGTCCTCCAGTACTATAATCCTAGGGGACTCCACCACAATCCACAATACGATCTAGAAGTTCAGGAAGGACCATTTCTATTCTTTCTGTGAGTTCAAAGATTGGTGGATAGCACTTAACATGGCTGTAAGGAAGAGCCATAAGGTTAATCATAGAGATAGTTGGGGTATCAGTCAAGGAGACATGATGAGTTGGGAAAGGGCTTGGAAAATCAGGAAATAGTAACAGCATAATAGAGAGTGAAATCTATTAGCCTTATTAGGATTCCACCTAAAATCTGTAGAAAAGAAAGAGAAGTTTATACATGGAATCAAAGGACTGGAGATACCGATCTGCTCAGCCTCTATTTGAAAACTGTTTTTATTCTTCACAGGGCTTGTTTTGCCTTCTGCTAGCCATTTCCACTGTCCTCCTTCTCAGCTGTCTGGTTAATTTCTTTCTTAAGATAAAGGAAGGGAATGAACATAATCATGACAGGGACTGATGGACCGGCAATTTCAGACTCAGTTTAGGATTTTAATATACCGATGGCATTTATTTATTTATTTATTTATTTATTTATTTATTTAATTTAATTTAATTTATATGCCGCCCTTCTCCCTGCGGGACTCAGGGCGGCGCACAACATATTTAAAACAAAAGCATATATACAATCCCCCCCTATAAAACCGAATTAAACCAAATTTTAAAGTTGTGTCTTCCAAATTCCTAAAAATGAACCCAGTATAAAATCCTCCCTAGGTTAGGTCCGCTTGCTGAAAGAGCCATGTCTTGAGGGCGCGACGGAAGGTAAGGAGATCCGGGATCATCCGAATCTCGGGGGGTAGTTCATTCCAGAGGGTAGGGGCACCCACAGAGAAGGCCCTCCCCCTGGGGGTCGCCAGCCGACATTGCTTGGCCGACGGCACCCTGAGGAGGCCCGCTCTGTGGGAGCGTACCGGTCTGTGGGAGGGAATCTGCGGCAGAAGGCGGTCTCGGAGGTAGCCGGGTCCTATGCCATGAAGCGCTTTAAAGGTGGTAACTAACACCTTAAAGCGCACCCGGAAGGCCACTGGCAACCAGTGCAGCTCGCGCAGCAGCGGTGTCACATGGGAGCGACGAGTCCCTCCCAACACCGCCCGCGCGGCCGCATTCTGGACCATTTGAAGCCTCCAGGTGCTCCTCAAAGGGAGCCCCATGTAGANGTGGCCTGGGGTGGAGATGTACAACTGAGTATCATCAGCGTACTGATGGAAATCCACCCCAAAGCCACGAATGATCTCCCCCAGCGGCTTTACATAAATATTGAACAAAAGGGGAGAGAGGACCGACCCCTGAGGCACCCCACAAGTTAGGGGTCTAGGAGTCGACCTCTGTCCCCCTGCCAATACTGACTGCGTACGGATGGATTAGACTCTGCTTTGCTCTTGACAAGTACATTGATTTTCATATGTTTTTCTTAAAACTCCATTACTGGTGTCTGCGCAGGAGAAGCTGTTACATCAGTTCCAGGTTCCTGTAAAGATAGACTCTTGATCCTTGGATATTTTTCAACAAATCAACCCACTGGATTCAAGGCAAAGTTCATCTTACCCGCAAAGTTGTTATTTTAAATGCTGTCCACCACTTCTTTAAATGAAACCAGTTTATTAGATCAGAAACTGGCACCTAGTCTTTGCACTATCCAAATTCTTTAGAATAGAATAGAATTCTTTATTGGCCAACTGTGATGGGACAGACAAGGAATTTGTCCCCGGTGCTTAAGCTCTCAGTGTACATAAAAACAACCAAGTGGTATTAGGCAACCTATGGGTTTTACGGTTTTCTCCTTCACTAGAAGACAAAAGCAATGTGTGAAAACCTCCAAAATTAGTCACATCAGCCACTTCTTCTTATCCTTAAATTTCAAATGAATCTGGGCAAATGTGAGCCAACAGCCGTATCCTATAAAGCAGTGGTGGCGAACCTATGGCACGTGTGCCAGAGGCGGCACTCAGAACCCTCTATGTGGGCACATGCGCCATCGCCCCAGCCCCGCCTCCCCCTGCAGCTCCCTCACCAGCAGCCTCCCCCGGAGGAGAGTCGCCCCGGGGCGTGGCCCGCACAGAGCAGCGCAGCCAAGGACATGGCAGCCAGGACAAGACTCCGCCTTCATGCCCCGTCGTGCGCAGATGATGTTGCGGGGCACGGGAGGAGGACGTGGTCGCCATGACGCTGCTGGGCTGCCTGGGCGATCTGTAGCAAACCGTGGAGGCGGTGGGGGGCCCTGCAGGCGGGCGGTGTGGTTTTTGGGCACTCGGTCTCTAAAAGGTTCGCCATCGCTGCTAGAAACTATTCCGCAAAGAACACACCTTATGTAGAAATGGTAAACTGCTTGTCCAATTTTAAACTAATCTCTACTCAGTTAAAAGGGTGTACAGTAAGTAGAGACATGTTGCCACAGTTGTTTTTGTCGCTCTTTGGAAAGTTCTTCAAGGCAAAGCTGCCAAACCTCCCAACAATGGCCAAAAACAATGGGCCTGTCCATTGTAGGTATGCTCAGTGGGACCTAAACTAGGATGCTGGGAAGCCACAGGCTCCCACAAGCTTGATGTAGTCCAACAATTCTAGTAAGAAATCCAATTTCTCTTGCAACAGGTTCTACTGTAGAATAGCAGATGCCTTTGGTTTTTTTAGGCCCACATTATTTTATAACAGTGTACATAAATTCGATGTAAACTGGTGCAACGTGGCTGTGAAAAATAGAGAGCTGTCGTTTACTAATAAAGGAAGGGCCACAGATTCTCATTCCAGGATTTGGGAGAACTAATAAACTGATCCGTCGTGATTTTTTTTTTTCACCTGGTGAAATTTCTCGAAACATTTCCTCCATATTTTTTTCCTCATCCTACCAACATCCGTTTATTTTGCATCAAAGAAAACGGAAGATGAAAACAATAAGAAGAGGACGTACAAACGCCGTGTAACCGATAAATGCGCACTCCAGGATACAACAATTAAGGATTAGAAAAGCATAATAAAAATATCAATCTCTTGATACTTTAGCTGAAAAGCAACTATAACCTCCAGCTGTGGATCAGAGCTGCAATAACATTGCACTACCAAACTCCTTTCCAGCTGTTATGTTTTAGTAAAGGGGTGGAGGGGGAGTGGCCGCCATTTTGGATCACCGCAGCTAGGTTTTAAATGAAAATCTCAATCTTCATTTCTGTTATCTTGTCTCTTGTCAAATGATTTTATTTTAGGTCTCAGAGATTACAAGACATTTGGACATTATAATAGGAAGATTTGAGAATAAAACTTCTCTAACATTACCTTTTTCAAGAATTCTGAAGCTTTTCCTTCAAGTTCTTCCATTTTCTTCTGTTCGATACAGATATCTAGCAGAAAATAGCCCATATAAATCTTTTGGATAGCTTTTACTGACTAGCCAATCTCAGAGAACAGTCCATAGCAAGAATAAAATTTATGTCAACTTGTACCCAACCCTAAGATCAAGCACAACTGTCCAGTAGTGTGTCAAGAAAAATGCATATTTACCTCCTAATTATTTAAGTAGAAACAAGTAAAAAAAAATGCTTCCATTAATGACTGACACCTATGCTGCTAGCTTCAAACGGCATTGACTAAACTTTTCATAAAGCAGTTTAAAAGATACAAGCTAGAAATAATAATTTGAAAGCATTTTCTTCATAGGTATTCAGAGATGTTTAGCAATTACATCATTGATTTTGATAAGATACTCAAGGAACTGCTTTTTCTAAGTATGTCAGGATCACGAAAACATATATTGCAGGTATGCAACTAAACCAATCAGAAAAAAAGATTTGTTGCTTATTACCAAGTATATGTATATGTACACACACACACACAAACACACACTCATATACATACATAAACTGTTATGTATATAATTGGCAAAAACAAATGTACATCAAATGTACAGAACACTTCCTGAATTTAATTTCTGGAACTATTCATTCATTCATTCATTTATCACATTTATATAGCTTTCCATCTCACGTGCAAGATAAGATAAGATAACCTTTATTGTCATTTTTTTACTGTGGGCACAATGGCACACATCAAAAATGAAATTTAGTTGCCCGCTCTCAAAGTGAAACACATACATGACACACACCTAAACATACTATGTACAACATATGTATAGACCCACACCCCTACATATACATAGCAAATAAATATTAAATACTGTCCATCTCGAATATATAACGGAAGGAGGAAGCTTGAGAGTTCACAAGGTTAATGCTGTATGGAATGAAACTATGGCTGAATCTGGATGTTGGCATACAATAATAACAATCCCTATGAAACCTGGGTAGTAACTCATTTTTTTAAAAAAAAATGTGTTCTTTCATATGAGTATAAATATGGCATATGAATACCTACCCAATATGTGACTGAAATTTACATCCAGCCTTTTTCGATAACTAAAATCTGGGTCCAGACCACTTCGATGTAAGACCACCTGTGAAACGCACTCTTCGATTAACTTGAAATACAAAGGTCTAGAAAAATGACAAGAAAAGTTATGTGTTTTAATTTTACGCTTCTGAGGCGATACTGCTTTTAATGCAACACAACATATTCATGCTTCCACGTTGACCTGAGCTAGGATTTAAGACTTCTGTCAGTCTCATCAAGGCTGAACCCTGGCTAATGTTAGCTGGAGAACTGACACAATAACTAAATATGTCTCGGAAACTGGGACTCGTTCTTAAGCAGGATGGAAGTTTGCAAAACCTGTGATCCATCCTATCTCTTGATGAAGCGTCTACAAAATCTGACAGGCACCCTTCAGTAGGAGACAGCAGGAAATACTAGCTTCCCTTATGCCCTGTGTAAAAGGATTATAGAAATGGACATCAATAGTAACAGAGCAGCCTCCAATGCAACTCTGCTTTCTATTGATGTTTTCCTTGGAGGTCCTTACACACCTAGCCGGCCACTGTTCAAAACAGGACACTGCATTAGGAAGATTTTTTTTTCCTTCCCAAACTTGGCTATTTTAAGATGTGTGGACTCCAACACGCAGAATTCTGAGAGCTGAAGTCCACACCCACCTTAAAGCTGCCAAGTTTGAAAAACGGCGAGATAGACCGTTGGGTTGATCTAGGCGTGCTCTTGTTAGGGGCTGCGTATGGCAACATTTCACTTTGCAGAAAAGTCTTGACTTTTAATTGTCTGGGGTAGGGGTGAAGTTTTGCTACAACAGGCAAAAAGCAAGGGGCCAGAGAAAGCATCGTGGCCAGTCACTTAATTTCAATAGCTGTACCTTTTGTGCCACATACAAAGAAATGTGCGCGAGAGGATTTTGCAACTAATGAACACGCCACTGATGGCTCAGAGTTTAAGGCCTCATTTTTATATTTCCTAGTCTCTTGGGTTCATTCCATATACCATTTTCTCTCGTTGCTTCTGTTTATTTTTCCCACGTTAAAAATCTACCGATTCAAGACTTGCTTCGCAAGCCTTTATCTCACACTTTATCCCGCAAAGTTAAGTTAGAACAATTTCAATGGTGCTTGTATAAAAAAAGACTCTTTGTTTTTACACATTTCTCCCCACAATATTCTACAGCGGACACCAACTTCTGCCACGCAAGGTTTGATATCGGCTAAATAACTCTGTTATTTAAAGAAATTAAAAGACGCTCGCTCCTGGGGAGGAAAGCTATGGCAAATCTTAGACAGCATACTAAAAAGCAGAGACATCACCCTGCCAACAAAAGTGCGTAGAGTCAAGGCCATGGTTTTCCCAGTGGCAATGTATGACTGTGAAAGTTGGACCATAAGAAAGGCTGAGTGCCAAAGAATGGAGGCCTTTGAACTCTGGTGTTGGAGAAGACTCCTGCGAGTCCCCTGGATTGCAAGGCAATCAAACCGGTCAGTCCTGGAGGAGATCAACCCCGACTGCTCTTTAGAAGGCCAGATCCTGAAGTTGAAACTCAAGGACTTTGGCCACCTAATGAGAAGGAAGGACTCACTGGAGAAGAGCCTGATGCTGGGAAAGATGGAGGGCAATAGAAGAAGGGGACAACAGAGAATGAGGTGGCTGGATGGAGTCACTGAAGCAGTAGGTGTGAGCTTAAATGGACTCCAGAAGATGGTAGAGGACAGGAAGGCCTGGAGGAACATTGTCCATGGGGTCGCGATGGGTCGGACACGACTTTGCAACTAACAACCACAAATAACTCTGTAGAGAAAGCCCTTGGAATAAAAGGGGGGAGGCAAAACAAACAAAGAAAAGAAATATGCTGTCAATCTTTGGGCACCCCGAGCATCTGTGTGATAAACACGTTTAACAGAAATGTTTCAGACTCAGCAAGCAGCAACTGGCAATCTTGATAGAGATTTATACCTCTGAATAGCAAAAGCTGTTTTTAGACTTTCCCGGTGTTCTTGCTGCTTTATATATTTATATATATTTCAATAGCCTGCCTTTTTTTCCTGTGAACAAAAAGGGGACCTAGGCTGGATTCTCTTACAATGTTACTCCATAATGATGATCTTGCAAGGTAAATTGGCGGAATAACTGGCCCAAAGTCCCCCTCGGTAAGGTTTTTTTTTAATTCAAGAAGGTGGAGTAAAGCTAGATGTCATTAATCCAAGTGCAGAGCTTTGCAGCACTCGCTTATTATAACACCTACTCAAAAAAGTCAGTGTTTTATTCCAAGTAGCTACCCATGTAATTTACATAACAACAGCAGAGGCTATTTCCAGAAAATCAGTTTGATTCCAACATGAGCTAAGATTGGATTACCCGTCAAGCAAACTAACCACAATTATTTATTTATATCAAACCCAAATTATGAAGAAAAAAAAAAACCAGTTCACTATCATAACACAGCGAGGCAGCCTTTATCGGATAAGGTTTTCCTCGCTATTGTGATTTCATTTTTGAGCCAAGACCAAAGTTTAATCCAGAGGTCAAATAAACCGGCCACCCACATCTTTCTTGGGACTCCGCTGAATAAATGCAACAATTGAAGCCCTATTTCTACATTTTGAGGAGCTACAAGGTTTTCTAGGGACATGTCAACTCTGAAAGAATCAGAAATTTTCACACAAATTAGGTTGGCCTTCTTGACCTGCCACCTCTGACTTGACAGAGGTTGCATGCTTCTAAGTTCAGATTTATCTGAAGGTCTTCTATGGAAACTAAGACGCTGGGATAAAAATGTGTAACAGGTTGCAAAACGCTTGATACTTCGTAACCAACGTCCAGATAGGAGCTTCAGCAAGTTTTCGTACGGTACGATTTGTTTCCTTACCGTATAAAATTATCATTTCGTATCAGCAAGAGGTGCTGCAGGATAGAAAGGAAGCAGTTTTCCGCACCCGTGTCCTTAACGCTATTCCACACTAAATTAAAAACGTCATTTGCATCAGTAATCAAATTAAGGATAAAAAAAAATATTGCAAGTGGATTGTACATTGTAGATTAGTTATTCTTTTCAAGATGAATTTAGATTTATTTTTATTTTTTTGCTGAAGTTATGTCACATTTTAAAATTTAAGCTGGCGAGGAAAAATGATTGATCTTTTGGGCACAACATGAGTCATCTGCCACAAACTGATTTTTGTTCCAGAACTTCTGGTAACAACATAGTACTTCTTACAGTACATCCACGATCCTCTCCTTTTTTAATAATAATAATAATAATAATAATAATAATAATAATAATAATAATAATAATAATAATAATAATAATAATAATAATAATAATAATAAACTATTACAACACGAGAATCACCAAATTTTAGTTTGACAGTGTAAATAGAGTCAACTAAGAATCAAGAAACACTATCACTGCTTGGATGCTGGCTACCAAGATTGGTTTAACTCAGAGGTCTCCAATCTTTCTGGGTGGGTGGCCTGGTGGGGGAGGGGGAGGCGCCTTACACGCACATGCCCAAACGTGAATGTGGCCACACGTGCACACGCACGCACAAACAGGCCACCAGCATGGACACCACGCAAACGGGGCTGCGAGCATGTACACGAGGCTTTCAGCCATGGTGGTGCCTATGTGTGGGTTGTGGCGGCGCTGCCGCCAGGCTCACAGTGATGCTACCACCGGCGTGAGGATCACACCACCACCTTGCATGAGGCTTGTGCCACGGCCTACAGCAGTGATGGCGAACCTTTTAGAGAGCGAGTGCCCAAACTGCAACCCAAAACCCACTTATGTATCGTTGAGTGCCGGGTGGGTGTGGCACATTGGCTGGGTGTGGCCAATTGGGTGGGCGTGGCTGCGGTGTTAACGGCAGACTGGGTGGGACTAAAAAGTTCAATCAATCAATTCCAACTTTGCAAGAACTTTTTTTTTCACGAGAAGTTGAAATTGACTGATTGAACTGATTTTCTCTTTAGCGGAGGCCTAAAGAGAAAAGGTTTTATAAAACCCAGTTGAAGGCCTAGGACTGGGGTGATGACGCGCGTGCCCACAGAGAGGGCTCTGAGTGCCGCCTCTGGCACCCGTGCCATAGGTTCGCCACCACTGGCCTACAGCGATGCCACCACTGGCACGAAGATCCCGCCGTCTCTTGCAGCGCTGCTGCCGCCTACACAAGGTTCATGGAAATGTCACCAACTGTGTGTGGCGTGGCGTCACCCACCTGCCGCTCGCCATGCTCCGCCCCCCCATGCGAGGTTCGTGGCAACGCTGCCACCCACACAACACTCATGGCAACGGTGGCATGAGGGGGGGTGAGCACGCGCACACGTGCACTGTCAAGCTATTCACGTGGCCCGGTAGCCAAAAGGCCACAGGCTGGTAATGGGCCGCAGCCTATAAGCTGGGCACCTCTGGTTTAAGTGATTACAAATTTCCATTTTTTTTAAAAGGATATTCAAACTCTGATCTGATATCATCTAAACGGTGGGAAAATTCGATCATATCTTCTTCTTTGTGTTCACTGAATACTTTCAGCTGGATATCCAAAGCTTCATTCCTTATGCATCTCAGCAGCTGCAGTGAGAAAGCACCAAGAGTACTGTAATTAATAACTGCATGTTAAAATGAGTTATTTTGAACAAAACGCATATATCCGAAGCTAATAATTTGGGGGGATTTATGCTCTTCAAATATGTACTTTGTGAAACAATTTTTACAGGAGGCAGTTTGTTCTGTCTTAATACATAAATAAAAAAAAGTCTGCAAGGCATTTCACACTTCTTCTCATTGCAATCTTCTAATTTAAATGTTAATTCACACGTACAGATACTTACCGGCAGTCGCTCTTTTAATCCGCAACGCATAAATTCATTCCGAATGTGGAGTCTGAAGTCCAAATCGTCAGGAGTTGTAACCAGAGCATTGATGAACTGCATACAGGCTATCTACAAAATGCAACAACTTTAATCTGCAGGACTTCACTGGCCTTCATTGATTTGTAGCACTAACATTAAGACGTATATGACACTTCAGTGTTTTACAGCCCTCTCTAAGTGGTTTACAGATTCAGCATTATTGACCCCAACAATCTGGGTCCTCATTTTACCAACCTCGGAAGGATGGAAGGTTGAGTCAACCTTGAGCCGGTCAGGATCGAACTGCTGGCAGTCGGCAGAGTTAGCCTGCAATGCTGCATTCTAACCACTGCTCCACCAGGGCTCTCAAATTTCTGTCTTCAAAGAATGTTCTCAATATGAAACATCCAAAGAAAACAGACAGCTCAGGCATAGCCAACAGGAGAACTTATTATTTTATTGCTATGAACATTACAAAATTGTTCTGTCATGAACAAATTGTCTATGTGTAGTTGGGGAGGTGTTACCTAGAAAATAACGTTATTCAAAGGGGAATAGCTATAGAATTTCAGGGGATTATTAAACGTTTCCATTTTTTCCCCCTGCCAAACGGCAATCAACACATCTAGAGGTAGACAAACTTTAGAAGTGATCATGAACATATTCGAATTTTTATCTTATAAATTTATCTTATGAATTTTTATATTATGAATTTTATCTTATGAATTTAATGCATTTATCCAGCATTATGAATAATGCTGGATAAATGCAATTTCCAGTGCATTCTTCTTTGCTTAAAACAAAATATGATATTTAATTGTAATATGGCAATTACAATTAAAAGAACTTTATGGCTTGAAATTGAAGTATCAGGCCGTTATATTTCTTTTAGGTAATCAGGAGGCATTAAGTCTTTCTAAGTCAGTGGTCCCGAACTTTTGGGCACCAGGGATTGCTTCCGTTGAAAACAAATTTTCCAGGACCCAGGTGGTTTTGTGCGCTACCTAGATCCTGCACATGCGCAAATTAAGCTTTGCTCACTTGCGCAGCCCAGTTCCTAACAGGCCACAGACCGGCACCTAGCTGTATCCAAGATTGAATCATTGTCCAAGAATTTATTTTTCTTCAAGTACGCTTACTACATTAGTTACATTTATTGGTTTTAAAACACCATAAAAAAGCATCACTTACTTGCAGATGGACTGAATTCTCCTCAAGACCCTTCAGAATGGGGCCAAATCGGTCAATACCTCTGTCTTCTGCGGCTGTAGTCAAGGCTTTCAAAATCTTTTCCAGGCTATGGAAGGAAGGAAGGAAGGAAGGAAGGAAGGAAGGAAGGGAGGGAGGGAGGGAGGAAGGAAGGAAGGAAGGGAGGGAGGGAGGAAGGAGAAGGAAGGAAGGAAGGAGAGAAGGAAAGAAAGAAAAGAGAAGAAGGAAGGGAAAGAAGGAAGGACGGAAAAGAGAAGGAAGGAAGGAACTATTATTAAATTAAACAGACCTGCATACTTCAGTCTCACATCTTAAATACCTTTATTTCAAGGGACTTGAAATAAATCACCAAGCAATATTTCCTAGAAAACTCCAATTACCAACCATTCACAATGGAGTTCACATTCTACACAGGCTATACATCCTGCAAGAAAATTTCCACCAGGGAACAGTTGTGCTGGGAAATCCTCACTGGATCACAAAGCAAAGCATCTGCAAAAAAACACGATTTCTACTTTGACACCAACCTTCTGAAGGCCTGGACAACCCCGGCTAAAAGTATGTAGAGATATTTCTGTGCCTCTTGGAGTTCGTCACGCAACGTATCCAGCTGTGTTTACGACAGACAGTCCTCGACGTACAACAGTTCATTTAGTGGCCATTCACTTAACAACTGGGTTACTAATTTAAAAACTGCAGCGATTCCCTTAACAACTGGGGCAAGAAACTGGGGCAATGTTAACTGTCCGGGTTCCGACTGACGATCCCGATGAAGTCAGCACAGCTGAGACATTCCAATCTCTGATGCAAAACTTTATTGAGCTCAGCATAGCCGCACAGACGAGTGGGAAACTAGCTCTGGCATCTAAATCAGTCTATTACAGTTTAGAATCTCCCCCCCCCCCCCCCCCATTAGTGCAGATCACATTGTCCAATAAGGTGTCAAAAAATTGTTATGAGAGAATGTTTCAGTTCTCAGGAAATAGTTCTTGGACAATCTTGATTCTCACAGCCGGGCAGCCCGACGTCTGAAGCCTGCATTCCATTCTTCCCTCCCCTCCCCGCCCCCCAAGTCTGTAGGCAAGCTAAGAAGAAAAATGGACACAGTTACATAAGAAAACCAAGATCATGGCATCCGGACCTCTCAATTCCTGGCAAATAGATGGGGAAGAAATGGAGGTAGTGATAGATTTTATCTTCCTGGGTTCCAAGATCATCGCAGATGGGGACTGCAGCCAAGAAATTAAAGACGCTTGCTCCTGGGGAAGAAAGCTATGGCAAATCTAGACAGCATACTAAAAAGCAGAGACGTCACCCTGCCAACAAAAGTGCATATAATCAAGGCCATGTTTTTCCCAGTTGCAATGTATGGCTGTGAAAGTTGGACCATAAGAAAGGCTGAGCACAAAAGAATTGAGGCCTTTGAACTATGGTGCTGGAGAAGACTCCTGCGAGTCCCTTGGACTGCAAGGCAATCCAACCGGTCAGGAGATCAACACTGACTGCTCTTTAGAAGGCCAGATCCTGAAGCTGAAACTCAAGGACTTTGGCCACCTAATGAGAAGGAAGGACTCACTGGAGAAGAGCCTAATGCTGGGAAAGATGGAGGGCAATAGAAGAAGGGGACGACAGAGAAGAAGGTGGCTGGATGGAGTCCCTGAAGCAGTAGGCGTAAGTTTAAATGGACTCCAGAAGATGGTAGAGGACAGGAAGGCCTGGAGGAACGTTGTCGGAAACGACTTCGCAACTAACAACAACAACAACAAAAGCATTCTTCGTAGCTTGACAGTTACACTTACATGTTTTCGTCACCAATAATGCACATTGCAGAGAGAAGTTTAACTGCGTCAGTCATCATATTGATTTGTTTGGGATCGATTGTTTTGGCCAGTAACGAAAAACTCCTTTTTTCGCTCATTATTCTCTCCAAGCCGTACTAAAGGGTCAAGGGGTAAAAATTAACAGGAGGCAGAAGGTGATTGTTAACAAAGATGCATATATGCAGACTGTTAGCTGCTGCTGCATTTTCACAGACACATCAAGAAAAAGATCTGAAATCCTACAAAATTTGAAGAGTTTCAAAGGCGCTTCCGCAAGAGAATCAGCAATGTCAACTATATATGTCTATGGAGATTCTCAGTCATCCAGGTCATAGCTATCCCAAAGGTGCTTTTTCACGAGGCAACTTGGCCTTTTCGTGAGCTGAAGAAGCTACTTGGATGAGAAGCAAAATGTCTTCAAAGAAAAACAAGGAAGTCCAGTTGCCTCGTGGAAAAAAAGCACCTTTGGGACAATGTTAACCATGTGACAAGCTGAGGTTGACTTAAATACTTTTCCTTTTATTTAGTAAGTTTTCCTCCTTGTCCTCTCACTTGGAGGTATACTGTTTTTACAACTCACTTCTGTTAGGCTGTTAAATAGTATCATATAATATACAGGCAGTTCTCAACTTACGATCATTTCTTTAGTGATCTTTCAAAGTTCACTAAAGGCACAGAAAGTTGACTTATTGTCACATTTACATTTATGTTATGATGATCTCTCTTTTACTTCAAGGTAACTACAGAATACAGAATAACAGGGACAACCATAAAATTGAACAGCTCTCTCTAGACCACGGGTCGGCAACCCGCAGCTCCAGAGCCGCATGTGGCTCGTTCTCTGACGAGCTGACAAGCTTATTGGCCGGGGCTCCTCCCTTTGCTGCATCTCTGCAGGAAGCAGGAAGCAAGAATGGCAGGAGAGCCAGTCCAATAACAATGTGTGTCAGCTGGTTGGAGAACAGCCTGAAGCCAGCTTGCCAGGTGAGCAGAAGATCGGAGAGGGAGAGGGAGGGGGGGAGAGAGAAAGAGAGCGGGAGAGAGAAAGAGAGGGAGAGAGAAAGAGAGGGAGGGAGAGAGAGAGAGAAAAAGAGAGGAAAGAGAGAAAGGAGAGAGAGACAGAGAGAGAACTCATGCACAGCAGCCTCTATTTCTTTTTAATTAAACTCTTCAATCAAGCTCCCCACTCCTTGCGTGTGCGCATGCGTGCGTGCGTAAGTTTTCCGGCTCCCAGTGTTTTCTTTTCTCTAGGAAACGGGTCCAAGTGGCTCTTTGAGTGTTTAAGGTTGCAGACCCCTGCTCTAGACAGACGGGGAGGGATACAACATCATCAATCTCCAGTCTACAACACAGTCCTTTCAGCAGTTACAAGAAGGCTCCACACTCATTTGCACCACTCAGGTGACCCAGAGGACACAGGTAAGCCTCCAGGTAGCTTTAACAACTCTCTAAAGAATGCAAATGACCAGCTGTCTGCAAGGATTATAAATACTTCCATTCCCCACCATCCAAGCTTCTTGGATGAGAAGCGAAACGCCTTCCAAGAAAAAAACAAGGAAGTCCAGTTGCCTCCTGAAAAAAGCACCTTTGGGACAACCACGACCTGGATGACGGAGTCACTTTTTTTTCAGTGCCATTGTAACTTCAAACGATCGCTAAACAACCGTTG